CAAAGCATGAACATCAGCCTATATGGTCAATATTCTTAGTAAATGCAAATAAGATGTAATGGAAATGAAGGAAATAACCATAAAAGGCATTTAGGTGATGTGTGTGAGTGTGTGCATGTGCGTGTGTGTGCGTGCGTGTACACACTGGACCTCTTGATGATATAAAGGTGAAAAGCTTCACAACAAACAAATCAACCTTAATCCACACATTGGATCAATGCGGCTGCTATAGGCCTCAGGGTCGCCTTATATTACTCCTCAAACTTCATATTCACTCATTGATTTGCTTTTCAGAATAGTATATCACTGAGCTCCAATGGGAGAACGGATAGAGACAGGGGCCAGGGTCAAGCACAGCTCGCATACATGTTAGCGTAATATTGATGTCCCAGCAGAAAGAAATGACTAAATATCTAGATCAATATCTAGTTTCCCTGCAACAGCAGAGCAACGAGGTGGGGAAATATAAATATACATCTTTATGACCACAGAAGCAATCATAATGAGAGAGCTGAATGAATGTTTCCCTTAAGGTGAAGTGTTTGATTAGCAGAGGGCAGAGGTTATTGCCGATATGCTGATACAGGAAAACGAGACTGATGGCTCAGGCAGGGCAGGGGCTGCGGAGATGACAGCAGAACAGGGCTGAGCTGAAGTAAGGCCTGTTCATACATGTTAATCGAGCTTTAAGCCATTAGTGATGGAAGCGGATTTCATCATCAAGTGCTAAGGGCTTACGGAAGGAACTGGAGCATTCATGAAAAAAAGTTCGGGAAGAACATAAGATAGAACCTTGGTTCAGGAGACTTAAACTATCGTTCATAAGTTTGGGGTCAGTACGTTTTTTTTATTATTATTTTATTAATACTTAAATTCATACTTTTATTCAGAAAGGATACATTAATTTTTTACTGTATTTTTATTAATTCATGAGCATAAGACTTGGTGAGCACATGAGACTTTTTAAAACATTTGAAAGGTAGTAATGAAATTTGGGCATAACTGAGGAGTTAGCCTACCTATGCTGCATCAGAGTAAATGAATGAAAGAAATATAATAAATGAAAAAAAAAGACACTTATTAAACACTTGTTACATTTAATGTATTAGGCTATATATTAAAAAAAACTCTATATAAATCCAATAATAATAAAAAAAAACAGCAATAAAACATTCTCTGAGATGAGTTAAGTGTGAAAACACAATAAAAATCTGCGTCAGGGGACTCTTTTTTGAAGCCTAGTGTTGTCATATCAGCCATTCTTTAATTGAAAACGGTTTCACCAGGAGTCCAGTAAAACACTTGATCAAGGATCTGGCAAGGCAGGTGTTTTTACTTGCCATTTAGCAGATGGCTTCACCAATGCATATGGATAAGCCTATAGGCCTAGACTTATTTACAGCTCCAAACCATTAGAAAAGACAGTGGTACACTCACGGTTCAACTCAAACACAGACTAACTACCATAAAAAAAGGCAGAAGAGCAGATAATGCGTTACCTCTTAATTAAACAAACACCTATGCCTGTACTTAATCACTGAGTCCACTCACTATCCCTCTGTGTATCATAAAACAAAAGACTGACTAAGGGGACATTCAATGACCACCATCCAACCCTCGACCCTTAAATCACAGGCTTTGTGGGGTCTTGTGCAGGGCCTGTGGGAAGGGAGCAGGGTGGGCTGTGGGTGGCAGCAGTGGAAAGACTGACACGGTGCTGTGGCAGTAAGTAATGCGCGTGTGGATTAGCGGTATGATGGCCTGATCAATACCAGCGGTTCCAGCCATTAGGAATGCAGCAGAAAACGACCCCCTATGGCAATAAAGCACAGTGTCCGCCTGCTACTTCATTTGCTGCCTCCATTAGTGTAATGGTATCATTATCAACTGTGGCAGTATTTTTTCTAACACTCCCACCCTCCCTCGTTTCCCTCGCCTGTTTTTTCATCCTTTCAGATTTCAGGAATCAGAAGGCATGAGCTACACTACACTGCCTCCGTATTTTCTTTCATTTTTTCTTTCTTTTTGCATCACCGGATATAAATCTGCCCCTAGCGCAGCTTGAACACCAGTCTAATTATGTATTCCTGAGTGTGTTTTATGTGGCTGTCCGACACTGTTTCTCTATTATGGACTCATTAATAGGACGTAGGCATACGGTGACGAACAGAGAGGGGAAAACGACAAGGGGGGGGCAGAAAAGCTGCTGATTACGCCGAAAGTGACACCACCTCCCGCTAAAACACCGGCTCCGACATGACAGCGGCTCGGCATTAGGACCTATAAATCGTTACTTTAACACTAATTTACAGAGGAACATTTTGTGGGAGAAATTGATTAATCAAGACTGGCTGTGTGGCCTCATAATCAGGCCTGAACTGAAGCTAGCTGTTAATTTAACAGAATCGCCAAGGGGAACACAAAACATTTTAATGAGTGTTCAGGAACGAAATAGCCTAAACAGCTTTCTCCAGCAAAACACACGAGCCGGGAAAGCCAATGACCCGAGAACTCTCTGAAAGATGGGACGGGAGGAGTGAAAGCCTCTGAACATCTGGCAACCCTCTGTGCTCCTCACACTGCTGTTGTGAAACAATGAAATCATTATTTATTTATTTAACAATTTTTTGTTTATTTAGCTACTATTTTTTTATTTTAATCAAATGCACTATTCATCACAGTAAAAGCTAATAATACCAGGCAGTCATCAACAAAGGTGTCAAAAGCAGCAACGAATCCCAACAAGGTTGTGAGTGCGAAGAAATGCAAAACATGCTCAGCAGACGGAAGGAGGAAAACAACAAGCACTTTTCTATTTCATAACTGTGAGGAAAGAAAAACAACAGAGCCCACATCCCTCTGCAAATACAATAAAGAGGCCAAAATGGCATTTATAATTGAATAATACTTCAGTGGGATATTTGTGGTCACCCTGGCAACGTTAAAACCAGAAACTCAGTCCAATGTCTCTTGATCAACTATTAAAACAGTATTTTCAGGTTGAAGGCCATGTAAGGCTACTTCTAAAAGCATGAAGTCAGTTTTTAATAGGCTATTAGCCAATAGTCTCCCTCTTTTAGTGCATGATAATGGAAGTGGTCTTTTTTATCATACACATGTGCCACATATGGTTAGGAAATGCCTGGCAAAGCTGAACTAAGAATAAATATAATTCCTTTTTCAGAGAAGGATAGTTCACAGGCTACATCCTATAGGCTAGTTTTTGGGGCATAAATGCACACGTTTATGGCGGAGACAACAATGTACTCTCCTTTATTTATTATCATGATTAAATGGACATGCATTTTATATTAAGGCACCGCAGGAATACACACACCAGTCCCTCAGTCTAGCTGATCTGCGGTTTTCTGCCCTGTTCCCTTTATTTTTGTGAAGGAGAGAGATCAGTTGGGGCAGGGTAGCAGAGCTGTCAGTCTGTCCGTCTGCTGTACAGACCCAAAACTAGCTGGATCAAGTTCTCAGAGAGACAGATTCATCTGGTCCCTATGGCAGCTGCAATAAAGTGGAGGAACCACACACCATAGATTCCCTGCTGTCAGACATGATCCAAAAGCATGCATCAGAGAGAGAGAGCGGACTAAAACTGAACAAAATAAAGAAAATGGAATGGGATATAATGGTATGGTTCAGGAAAGAGAGAACTGAAGAGAAATGGGCTGCTGACAAAACTTCTGATTACTAATAACTTCACTAAAGTCGTGTCGACAAACAAATCAAACCCGTTGAAATGCAAACAAAACACCTAATTATTTGCATTTTGACGATCAACCAATGCACCTTCAACCACAGACAATATCAGAAAGTGACATGTCAACTTGTCAAGTACAATAATAAATAAATTTAACATTTTAAAATATGCCAGCCTGTTAAACGTTACTTCCATCTATTTAATCAATGATTAGAGACAGGTGCTAGAAATTTACCTTTATCTCTTATTAAAGAGGCAATATTTGGTCCTGGATTTGATTTTTGATGCATTCTGTACCCTTTAGGAGGACATTTGTTTTCTATCCATATGAAAACACAGTATAATCCTTTATGACTTCAAACTTGACAGACCTAGTATGGGATATAACAAAATATACCAAAGTATTATTATTAGATAAGAAATTCACTGCCTTGATTAATTTATGACCCTGAAAGAAAACACTATTAACCTCTGGAATACTTGAATCTTATTGGTCATGGGTTTGAATGCATGAACTGATAAAAAAAGTATACCTGCTTGAATGCAAAAAGCTATATGGTGTTCATGTAAGCGAGATGTTTGTAAAATAAAACTTCAAATTAATATTTTTCTATGTCTTTGTGTCTGTTAAGGAGCCATGTAATAAGTGGGATAAAAAACCCTTCATAACCAGGGTTTATGTTGTGATAAAGACCAATATCACTGTACATTCAGGACCAACAAGCTTCACACCATGACGACAGACTGAAAAAGTTACAAGTTCACATAAATACAGCTGCAACCCCAACCGTTATTTATATTACACAGACTATGCTAAATTAAAAACACGACCCATTTCATTTCCAGTCCTAAAACACGACACATGCGCTTCAATAAATTGGTCAAATAAATTAGGAATAGTTGGTTTAGCAGATACACCTGCAGAGTGACAGACACATGGACACGCGTCTTCTCTTGACTTCATTCATTAACACCATGATTGAAAAAGCACTGTAATGCCGCTACACAAGCCATTCAGGCAAAGTCAGTGTGGCAGTTATCAGAAAACACTCCCTCCGCGCTGTGCCTCAACACACACTCGTGTGTGCCGGATGACTCTGTACAGAGAACTCTTGCGATAAAAGAAAGCAAACATTACAGAAGCAATCAGCAGCATCACATGCGCACTTCAAATGAACACACAGCACCAACCAGCGCGTGCAATACCGCAACGGACACGCTGTACGGTGTATAACAAACTCCACAACTACATGTGGTGCTTGGCGAACTGAGAGAAAACTACAAGCGATACCTTTCTCCTCTTTTCCCTCTCACTGTCATCCGATCTTTTCATGTTCCTGAAGTACTGTTTACGCTGCCTCGGTTTCATAGCGCGCCGTGCTGGGCTATGTAGTCTTCAGATTGTGCCGTTAGCGTGTGAAATTTTCTTGAGTTTATTTAAATATACACTTAGCGATGTTTATGGATTTATAGGAAACATGAATGGTAATGAACACGTTGTTGTTATTTTATATAAGTATTTTGTTTTTAAGTCGTACCTGGCATTCCGGCTAGTACTGCATTTCCCAGAATCCTCGCGCCAGGAAAACCACGCTTGTAATTTGAGTAGAACCGGAAGTGGATATGGGTTAAAAAGCTTCGCAGTTGTGTTGAGAGAGGTTTGTAATAGATATTATGCGCATGCAGTGCTAGATGTGATGTTAAAAGGTTGATTGCTTTACTAAATGTGTCATATTAATAATATGTAACTATCTGATAAAGTGACTTGTCCTGCAGTGAGTAATGGGAAACTCAGCTTAGAATAGAGTTCAGGTATAACCAAGTGAATCTGACCTTTTTTATATGCATTCGGAAAGAATACGTTATAAATATCACAGTATTGGGACCAGGTTTTGTGACCTTTCTAAGAGTATTTAAATAAATGCAATATAACGAGAAAAAAAACTGTATTTCTAATTTTCTAATAGTATTAAAGTGCAATAATAGCGTGTGTGTGTGTTAAAAAAAAATACAGTTTATTTATATAGCACATTTCATACACAATGGTAATTCAAAGTGCTTTACATAGAAGTAATTAAAATCAAAAGAAATAATAATAATTAAAACAGTTTAGAATAAACGGGAAAAATACAGTGCAAACAGTCAGAGGAACAGTGGCACAGTGCTCATTCAGTAAATGCATAGCTAAACAGATGTGTTTGGAGTCTGGATTTGAATGTGACTACTAGGAGCACATCTGATCTCCTCTGGAAGCTGGTTCCAGCTGCGGCTGGCATAATAGCTAAAAGCGGACTCACCTTGCTTAGAGTGAACCCTTGGTATTTCTAGCTGATGTGATCCTAATGATCGGAGTGATCTGTAAGGTTTATATTCAGTGAGCATATCTGCAATGTATTGAGGTCCTAGCCCATTGAATGACTTATATACCAGTAATAATACTTTAAAATCAATCCTAAATGTAACTGGGAGCCACTGTAAAGACCTGAGGACTGGTGTGATATGTTCATATTTTCTGGTTCTGCTCAGAAGCCTGGCAGCAGCGTTCTGTATGAGCTGCAACTGTCTTATGGTCTTTTTAGGAAGGCCAGTGAGGAGTCCATTACAATAATCCACCCTGCTGGTGATGAAAGCATGCACAAGTTTCTCTAAGTCTTGACTGGAAACAAAGCATCTAATTCTTGAAATATGTTTCAGGTAATAGTATGCTGATTTAGTTATTGCTTTGACATGACTACTGAAACTGAGGTCTGACTCCAGAATCACACCGAGATTCCAGACTTGATTTTTAGTTGTTTGACCCCTAGCGTCAAGGTATGCATTCACCTTGAGAACTTCATCTTTGTTTCCAAACGCATTGACGTCAGTTTTGTCTTTGTTTAACTGAAGAAATTTTTGGCACATCCAAATGTTGACTTCATCTATGCATTGGCACAGGGAGTCAATGGGGCTGTAGTCGTTAGGCGATAGGGCTAAGTAGAGCTGTGTGTCGTCTGCATAGCTGTGGTAAGAGATTCGGTTCTTTCTCATTATTTGGCTCATTGGGAGCATGTACAGGTTGAATAGGAGTGGCGCAAGAATGGAGCCTTGAGGGACTCTGCATGTCATGGATGTCCACTCAGACTTATGGTCTCCTATACTCACATAATAACCTCTCCCTCCTAAGTATGACCTGAACCTTTTTAGGACTATCCCAGAAAGCCCGACCTGTATTTAAGCGAATATCGTTTATCATCTTTATGAGTGCTGTCTCTGTGCTGTGATGCGGTCGGAAACCAGATTGAAAATTGTCAAAGTATCCATTGGAGCTTAAGAATTTGTTCAGCTGATAAAGACAACTTTTTCAATGATGTTGCCAAAAGAAGATTTGAGATTGGTCTATAGTTGCTTAATGTGGTCTAATCCAGATTACTCTTTTTCAAGAGGGGTTTAACAACTGCAGTTTTCAGGGAGTTTGGAAACTTCCAAAGAGAAGAGAGGAATTTACCACTTTTAGGAGATCTGCTACTAAACAGTTAAACACGCTTTTGAAAAAAGATGTGGGAAGTGCGTCAAGGGCGCAGGTTGATGTTTTAAGGGCTGTATGGTTTCTTCCAAAATTTTGCCATCAATTTCTTTGAAATCAGACATAGTAACTACTTTCTGAGGTTGTGGTCTGATCTGTCTGACAACTCAAGGATGAGCTGATCACCTTTCTGATATTATTGATTTTCTCAGAGAAGAAGGAAGCAAACTCACTGCACTTGCTGTCTGAGAGCATTTCTCTGGTAATGTAATGTTGCCAGTCTCTCTACAGTAGCAAAACGAGTGTGTGTGTTGTTTAAGTATACTGTTTAAAATATTCGAAAAGAAAGTCTGTCTAGCTTTGCCTAGTTCCATATTGAAAGCATGAATTCTGTCTTTATAGATGTTATAATGGACTACAAGTCCATTATAAAACAAAACGTTTGCAATTTCATATTAATTTAAATATGAAAATCAAAGTTGACCAAAATATGTAGGCTATATAGGGTCAAATTAAAATACATTTTCTTTAAGGGTTCCCTGTACTGTAATCTGATTGTATCACTATGATTTTTAAATTTCACTCTCAAGGATCACAGGTGGTGCAGTTTCTTTGGACAATAAGAAGGCTAATTAACATCAGGGTGTAAATTAATAATAAATGATTATACCATAATTGGATTTAATAACACATAAGTTAAAACAGCAGCTTAGCCACTGTTTGTACTCTCCTGAGGTTTGCCCTTGCCTTGAATGGAAATCAGAAGCATAGTCATCGTGCTTTGAGTGTATTCCAAAAAGTCAGTCTTTGCCAGGTCTCTTACAACCTCTTCTCCAGCTTTTGCCCAGGTGCTGTACAGCTGAAGGGCCCCAAAGCAGGATATTCCATTTTCCAAAAACACCACTTTGAGCTGTAATAGAATATGTAGCAGCATTTGTGTATGACATGGACATAACCCCCTCTGAGCATATGAGGTCAACAGATATCTCGTAATGCACGTGAAGCGGTGTTGAAAAGCGCTCCGCTGGTTCCCAGTTTCAGCCGACGACAAAAGGACCCGCTCTGTGAAAGATATACAGGCACGAGCCCCGCGGAGGGCCAGGGGGGTATTAAAAGGTTTCAAAACACCTGCTATGTATTAGCATTACAGACTTTGATCAGTGTCTTCATTAGACTTCTTTGTAATCTCTCTTCTTTTATGATAGGGCCGACCCAGGCGAGCCTGGTACGCAGATTGAACACATATGTTCTCTTCACCTGTCTTGTAAAAAGCTCAAAGCACTCATACTTTCAAAGATTTCGGTGTCTCTGTCATCTTGTTGCAATAAACAGGAGGGCTCTTTTGATTCCTATTTATAACCTACATTTCCGCCCTTCTCTTTTGGCTTTGGAGGGAAATATGTGTTTGAAAAATACCTTGAGCAAAGTGGCTCCATATGGATATGAGTATAAGCACATGTGTCTATGGGGGATTCTTTTGTAAGCTAATGGAAAGGAAATGATTATTCTGTCATAGCTTTATTAGGAAACAAAAGTTCATGTCTGTTTATGCTTCACATCCAATCATTCAATTAACGTTTCTTTCGTGTGTGCATGTTAAACCATTCTTCATATATTACACCTGTCAATCAAGGCTTGTTTAAAAGCTCACCATTGGGACTTCGCAGACCCATCAGCGGTGGCTTGTGTCTTTTAGCCGGTGCCTGTCAGCCTGTTCTGCATCCAATCATCCCTCTCATCAAGAATACTTTTAATACGTGATCAGCAACTTAAACGCAGGTTGAGGGGCAGCGCGCTTTCAGATGTGGTACAAGCTGGGGTTTGAAAAAAATAGAGCGAGACGGAAAACTTTGAACTCCTGCAGCTCATCAAATCCTCCTTGTCTTTTGTCTGGCCAATTCTCTGTTCTCACTTTTCAACATGGGGGATGTTATGTGTTATTGTGCAGCACATCGACAGCGGATAACCCTCCGATGGGCCTGTGTTTTACCCCCACAAATATAGGCATGTAGAAAAAAAAGAGAGAGAGAGACTGCACTGGGCTGAAATCAAAGGTGAAAAAGAGCCTTGTGCCAGAAAAACAATAAGGAACATTAAAGACAAATTTAGTGACTGTTGTGCTCGGCTCATATATTAGAACCAGAACCTGCTACATGGTTTGGAAAACAGCTTGTAAGTAAAAGCAGTCTCTCCTTTGAATAATAATAGGTTTCCTTCTGAGGTCATACAGTATATTGGGCCACCTATGCTTTTATGTAGCATTATCAAGTTGTGATGTGGTTTATTCTAAAGAGGTGGTAAAGTCTGGGTAAAACAGTAATGGGGGTCAGACACTGAGGCTGTTGTTCAAGATCGACCTGAAAGACCAATTTTGTCCTTCCCACATCCTGTCCGTGACTATTTGCTCAGTGTCCTCCATGGTGTGCCAGGGAGAAAAGGGAGGCCTTTTGAGTTTTATTTGTATTGAGTGGGCATATGGAACAGGCATGTGCCTCCTTGTGCCCTAACCTTCAATGATAAGCTGGAGGAAACTGTTATTTGTCAGTGCTATAAAGAAGATTGCTGCCCAGTGGTTTCAATTAACTTCAAAGCGCTCTTCCCAGGCAGTAATAGTTATATCAAAACCTGAACTGTATTATTTAGGTTCCACACTGGAGCTCTCAGAATGATTATGCTCCCTTTTCAAAGAGATTTTCTTTTCTTGCTGACTTTATGCATTCCTCCAACCCCATGTTCTCAGTTTTATTTTCATATTCTTGTTTGTATGACCCACTGTTAAAGCTCTCGGATGTCAGAGGGCCTGTGGCACTGGAAAGTCATGGGTACAAAACATAATTAGTGGATGGTAGCACCAAATTTCTATAGGC